TACATCGGAACCAACTTTGGGAGAAAACGCCCTTTTGCTCATAAAACCTGAAAAGCTGCTTAACCCAAAGCTTTTGGCAAGTACTTTATCTATCTAAATTCTTTTCTGTTATCTCTTTGCTGTGCTATTGCTTTCTGTATATTTATATATATTGGCTACATCTTTTTCTGTAAATATTTTTATTGCACCCTTTTGACCTTTTAGTAATAAATCTTACTTTCTGAAAGTGTTGAACTGTTTATAAAGCTCTTTAATGCAAACTCATAACCCCTGCCTCTGAAGAGCGCTACTGTGTGTCTGTTTTAAATTTCGGTAAATCTCTGCCTGCAGTGACAGTGGTATACCGACGATTATTCAAACATCATAGTGTTATTGCTGATATTGCCGAGTTTCCTCTTTGTACAAAAAGGAGGTGGTGGCAGTGTGAAGGGTTAATTGTGTAATTAACCTGACCCAGTAACAATCGCTCCCAGGCTGCCGCCACACAGGTTGTGGTCGATTAGCTGGAAAATCTTTGTGCAGGGTGCAGCTGGGCATGGCATTGTTACGCACGTGACCGCGCGGTTTTAGATTGGCTAGTCCTTCGGTCACGAGTTTGGTAAGAAGGGCTGGGGTCTGACGCCACGATCGTCACAGTAGAGATTGCTGATCCATTGGTTTACTCAATACAAGCTGCATTGACCTCCCATAACTTAGAGGTCTTTGGACTTTGGCAGGGCCGGGCACAGAGTGGCCAGAATTGCCACGTGCCCTGGGCGCAGAGGTGCTGTGGGAAAAGGGGGCACTGATAGCTGATGAGCACTTTGCTCTCTAGCTACCTGAATGACAGGAGTGACACCTGACACCTGTGCTGGGAGTTTTTTATTACATCATCTGACGTGAATGCTGAGAGTTATTAATGCATCCATTGACACCTGTGCTGGGGGTTTTTACTGTATCCATTGACCCCAGTGCTGGGAGTTATTACTGTCCATTGATACCATTGCTGGGAGTTATTATTGAATCCATTGACATCAATTCTGGGAGTTAATATTGTGTCCACTCACACCAATGCAGGGGGTTACTATTGCGTCTATTGACACCTGTGCTGGAGGTTTTTATGACATCCAATAACACCAGTGCTGAGGATTTCTATTGCATGCACTGACACCTGTGCTGGTGATTATTAATGCTTTCACTGACACCAATGCTGTGGGTTATTATTGCATCCACTGACACTAATTCTGGGGAATATTAATGCCTCCATTGACTCCAATGCTGGGGTTATTTGTGCATCCATGGAGGGGGACATCTTTGCCCTGGGCACTGGTTGACCTTGTCCCACTATTGGCCTCTGGCAAGAAGTTTGAGCACTTGGTTTTAGCATCTAGAGGATCCCAAGATTTGCAGTGCTGTTCTTTACGGCACCACTTTAGTTATGGTTTATGGACTTTGAGCATGAATTTTGGTTTATTTTATGCTACGTATTGGAATACATTATTCATTTATTTATTTAATTGATGTAAGACTCATGAACTTTTTGGTATAAGGTAGCATATTTTGGGGTGTTGTTACATAGCAATTTTTGATTTTTCAATACATTTCATTAATTTTATTGAATTTATACTAATGCACCTTATTCATCATTTGTGATATGTAACTTATCATACCTTTTATGAGCACTTAAAGGGACAGTGCACCTGTTTTTGTATCTATACAGATACAAAGATCAATAAGCATCTGGATCAACCGTCCAAATCAAGAGGAGTGCTTTGGGCATGTTTAAAATACAACCATAGAAAGGTACATTTAACATCAGGTTAACATTCAAAAGTGAAATCACAGGTGTGAATGTGCTGAGCACCACTGCAGAGGCTTGGAGCACAAGGAGCCAAGACTGCATTGATCAGACAGGCTGAGTGCGGTCTATCTTTTATCATTCTAACTGCTGAATGGTTATGTGTATAACAACACTATGTGGATGATTTACTAAACCTGGAGGGTGCAAAATCTGGTGCAGTTCTGCATTGAAACCAATCAGCTTCTAACTTCAGCTTGTTCAATTAGGCTTTGGCAATAAAACCTGGAAGCTGAATGGTTTCTATGTCAAACTGCAGCATATTTTGTACTCTCCAGGTTTAATAAATAACCGCCTATGTGTTACAGCAACACTGCCCAACAGAAAGTAATACAGTAGGAGGAGATTTGTGTTTTGCCTCTGTCAACTACAAATGTAAGCTCTGCGGCACAACAAGCAAAATGCCCAACTGTTGGTGACAGGTATTTTCTAAGTTGGACTCAATGAGAAATACACCTAAATACAAGGTATCATAAAACACAAGTTTTTATTGCTCAATTTTGAGTGAAACTCCAACGTGGGTTCAGACAGCTTACATTCTGAGTTCAACACATGAAAGACATGAATTGATCAAACAGATTAGACAGACAAACGTAGATTAAAACAACCATATCCGGGCGTCCGGATGCTTCTAGATTCATACATGGGCAGCAACCACTTTTTGCCCACTTTTGGGCAGTTTTCTTTTTGTGTCCATGTGTTTTATTATGGTTACAGCGCTCAATTTGAAGTGGAAGTGTGCTGGTATATATGTAGTGGTGTATTTAGGTTGTGTGCTGCCCTAGGCAACACAAAAATTGGTGCCCCCCCCCCCGCAGAAAGAGCCTGACATTGACCAAGAGCACCTCTGCCATCCACCCGAGCCTTCCACTACCACTGCCCCCCATACACCAGCCATCATCCCCCATGGTGAGAGAGAGAAAGACACTCCCCTTCACAGCTCCGGACATCCCCAGGAACGAGAGTCGGGCTGTGCATACACTGTCATGAAACCCACAGCATCTCTCGGAACCCACCAGGTCTCCATGCTGCATGTGTCCTTTCTTCCTTCCCTTCTTCCAAGGGGCAGTGCTGCCCCCCCTGAAAAATGCCACCCTAGGCAAATGCCTTGTTTGCCTTGTGGTAAATACACCCCTGTATATATGTATATTAACCTCAAATATTATTATTTTTTGAGTATAGTGTTTTTTGGGATCAATATTGATCCTTTCAACTGAGGTTAAAATTCTTTGGACCCAGCAGTGTGGATTCAGACAACTTGGATTGCTATATAGCTTGATTGAGCAATGGCTTTTGTCATAGGGGAGGAATATGATATTGAAATCAGCACAGCATTTTAGAAGGATGCGCCCCCAATTTCAGAGTCAGGAAGATGACGTAATGAATAGATTTAAAGAACCTAAAAAGTTATTAATTAAACACCTGAACAGAAAGTGGGACGTGTCTTTCTTGGAATCATATATCCAACATAAGATTATCCCGAGAGGATTGAGACAAAGTAGTTCCAGTTGAACATTTACACAATGAGAGATTCCTTACTAAGTGGAAAACATTATATTGTATTGATAATGGTGTAGCTGTAATGGGTCTAATAGTTGAGAAAGAGAAACAACAAATGATCAAATGATAAAATTAATTAAACAAATTGAGGAAAGCTCTAGTGGTTTTAAAAATGCGGAAATGTTTTTGAGACAAAATGAGATATTAAAGAAGGAAATAGGGAAAATTCAAAAAAATCTTACATCTACAAAACAAACTAAGTTTAGAAGGGATCTCTCAGACTGGGAGACAGGAGATGTTTTTGATCAATAAGAAGAGTAAGAATTAGATCTAGGAGGAAAAGTTATCATTCTCAATTGAGATCAGGAGGAAAAAGAACCCCTAGTGATACGGATGATTAAAAAGTATTCCAAAATCAGTAACTTTTTTAGATCAAGGCAAAGGGGATGCAGGGGAAAACCTTTTAACAAAATCCCCAGGACAACAAGAAAGTGCAAGGAAAAGGGAAAAACAACAACAAAATAGGATATGTAAAAACAAGGAAGAGGAGTTAGAAAGATTATTAGAACAGGAACCACCAATTGCCCAAGTAGAAGATAATAAGGTTATCAATCTATCACTCTCTCCCTTGGCTTAAAAACACATTAAATTATTACAGCAAGGAATGTCCTTTTCTCCATCAGCTAACATGGATGAATTCACTGTCTATAAAGATATAGTACTCTTTTTACAAAAGGTCTATTTTAAATTATTGTATCAAAATAAAAATGATACAGGGACAGATGATTCCTCAACAACTGAAGAAGACAGAGAAGCTTTAAACATATTAATATCATTAATAGATGAAAATGAAGAAGAGGAATTAAATTATATTCCAACTAGAAGAAAGGCAAACCTCCCAATTAGGTCAGCAAAAATGCCCCGTTTATAAAAATAAAAGAATTGATCTTTTCCTTGAACAGGTACAGAAAGATTTAAAAGACATACAGTTGCAAGAAAAAGTATGTGAACCCCTTGGGATTACGTGGAGTTTTGTATGAATTGGGCATAAAATGTGCTCTGAACGTCATCTAAGTCACAACAATAGAAGAACACAGTCTGCTGAACATAATACTACACAAACATTAGATGTTGCCATGGTTTAATTGCACATAACATGTAAATATTCACAGTGCAGGGAGGAAAAAGTATGTGAACCTTTGGACTTAATAACTGGTTGATCCTCCTTTGGCAGAAACAACCTCAACCAAACGTTTCCTGTAGTTGCAGATCAGATCTGCACAACGATCTGGAGTAATTTTGGACCACTCCTCTTCACAAAACTGTTTCAGTGTAGCAATATTCTTGGGATGTCTGGTGTGAATCGCTCTCTTAAGGTCATGCCACAGCATTTCAATCGGGTTGAGGTCAGGACTCTGACTGGGCCACTCCAGAAGGCGTATTCTGTGCTGTTGCAGCCAATGTTTTGTTGAATTACTTGTATGCTTTGGGTCATTGTCCTGTTGCATCACCCATCCTCTGTGGAGCTTCAGTTGTCGGACAGATGGTCGTACGTTTTCCTGCAAAATGTCTTGATAAACTCTGGAATTCATTTTCCCATCAATAACAACAATCCGTCCAGGTCCTGAGGCAGCAAAGCAGCCCCAAACCATGATGTTCCATGCCTTGGCATGCAGACTGCTTCTACAAACATTTGTGAAAGAATGGGTTGCTCTCAGGAGCTCCGTGAATTCAACCGTGGTACCATTATAGGTTGCCACTTGTGCAATAAGTTCATCTGTGAAATTTCCTTTCTACTAAATATTTCATGGTCAACTGTTAGTGGTATTATAACAAAAAGTGGAAGCAACTGGAAACAACAGCAACTCAGCCACGAAGTGGTAGGCAATGTGTAATGACAGAGCGGGGTCAGCGCATGCTGAAGCAAACTGTCTGCAGAGTCAGTAGCTAAAGACCTCCAATCTTTGTGTGGCCTTCAGATTAGCACACAGCAACAGTGTGTAGAGAGCTTCATGGAATGGGTTTCCGTGGCCAAGCAGCTGCATCTAAGCCTTACATCACCAAGTGAAATGCAAGGCGTTGGATGCAGTAATGTAAAGCACGCCGCCACTGTACTCTAGAGTAGTGGAGACATGTTCTCTGGAGTGATGAATCACACTTCTCTGTCTGGCACTCCAATGGATGTGTCTGGGTTTGGCGGTTGCCAGGAGCACGGTACTTGTCTGACTGCATTGTGCCAAGTCTAAAGTTTGGTGGAGGGGGGATTAATGGTGTGGGGTTGTATTTCAGGGCTTGGGCTTGGCCCCTTAGTTCCAGTGAAGGGAAGGCCTCAGCATATCAAGACATTTTGGACACTTTCATGCTCCCAACTTTGTGGGAACAGTTTGGGGATGGTCCCTTCCCATGACTGTCTAACAGATTTGGATATATTAGAACCCAAATTCCAGATCACATGTGTGGATCAGTAGAAATGGCCCACAGCACTCATAGGAGTGTTGCTGAACTCCCTGACTTTGCCAGTCAACAAGGGATTTCGGTCTCACAGAAGGGCTCCAGTCAGCCCTCCATACCCAATTCAGAGACACACCAAAACTAGAGTCTATATACACTATATTGCCAAAAGTATTGGGATACCCCTTCAAATCATTGGATTCAGGTGTTCCAATCACCTCCATGGCCACAGGTGTATAAAATCAAGCACCTAGGCATGCAGACCATTTTGTGTCTGGGTTTGGAAGTTGCCAGGAGAACGGTACTTGTCTGACTGCATTGTGCCAAGTTTGGTGGAGGGGGGATTTTGGTGTGGGGCTGTTTTTTCAGGGGTTGGGCTTGACCCCTTAGTTCCAGTGAAGGGAAATCTTAAGGCATCAGCATACCAAGACATTTTGGACAATTTCATGCTCCCAACTTTGTGGGAACAGTCTGGGATGGCCCCTTCCTTTTCCAACATGACAGTGCACCAGTGCACAAAGCAAGGTCCATAAAGACATGGATGAGTGAGTTTGGGGTGGAGGAACTTGACTGGCCTGCACAGTGTCCTGACTTTAACCTGATAGAACACCTTTCGGATGAACTAGAGTGCAGACTGTGAGCCAGGTCTTCTCGTCCAACATCAGTGCCTGACCTCACAAATGAGTTCCTGGAAGAATGGTCAAACATTCCTGTAGACACACTCCTAAACCTTGTGGACAGACTTCCCAGAAGAGTTGAAGCTGTTATAGCTGCAAAGGGTGGGCCAACTCAATACTGAACCCTACAGACTAAGACTGGGATGCCATTAAAGTTCATATTCATGTAAAGGCAGGCATCCCAATACTTTTGGCAATATAGTGTATGTATATAATATATAAAAATTAGTCAGTAAGTTAGGTGAATGGTAGCATATAGATAATGCATGAAGTTCTAGACTCTTTTTCACATAACTACCTATGTGTAACCATTATCTTAGAAGTTACTGACCCCTTATTGTGCTGTTCAGATGGGGCCATAAATTGTTTCAATCAGATGTAGAGAGTCTATTTAGAAGCATCTGCAATGCTCTGTAATTTCAGTGCCATTGGTGCTCCCTATATTAAATATTTATTTGTGTAACAAAGATTTTTATACACTTGGTGTAAAAAGATATATCACACTATGTTGTGTGTTTACTTGTAGTAGCCCCAAACGACTTTCAGTTTACTGCATTATCTTTTTTAATGTATTAACATATTTTCCAACCTGTTCTTAAAATAAAACAGCAATTCAGATCTACTTTCATTTTTACATTTGCTATTTTTGCTATTCAAAAATTTGATTAACAATCAGAAATACTGTTTAAAGCTATGCGAAGTACCTGATGATACATACAACTGACATATAAACATTGAGCTAGAGTATAATCATTGCAGGGAGAAGAGTTGGATGGGCCGGAGATTGGTAGTGAATAAAGCTTACCATTTAAGTTCAAACTAATTTTCCAAGTACCTTGAAGTATACGTTTACGCAAATGTAAAAACCTTGCAATTTCTAGCCTCCTGCAATGCTCGGTACATCAGCATTCAGACTGAAAAGGAGGAGGCAGCACTTTAGAATACTCAGCCTTTAGTGTATGTGAATTTACCAAATCCAGTTTGTTGATTAGAGGACCAAGCTGTAATAATGTGAGTAAAGTGTAGAAAAGGAAATGATAAGGACATTGCACAGTGTCCTACAGAGGTGTCTACATTGCAGAAAACCAGTTAAACAGAATTATACATTTTCTGTAATTGTATGGTGTATTTTAACTGTGTATTTAGCTGTTTGCCTACACTTACACATTAAAGTGAATGCAATCAATAACAATGAACTTCTATATTTGCTTTTAAATATATTGTTGAAAGCATTCTAATTGCTCAATAAATTCTGCCAGAAATGCAGTGCTGTCTTGTGTCCAGTGTACGCTGCAGTATTATCGCAAGCATTGTTATTAGGCCTGGCAAGTTCATTACTAAGAACTACAGAACACTTCCCCCCCATGTAATCGAGGTGTTCTGTAGCCCTAATGTAAAAGCCTTAACAAAGAAAACAAATGCAGCCACCACTGTTAAGTTGTACTGTATTAAACTGTCTCAATGCACTTTAACAATCTAATGTTTCTAAAGAGATATCAGGACACATTGCCTTGGAATGCTTTATATTCTTAATTCATTATCAGTTGTTCTTTTGTGGCTTCACATCTTGGCTCTAGAATTAACATGCTTGTACCTATTCAAGTAATACTATAAAATCATAGACCACAAAAAGTGTCATACCATTAGAACATAGGGATATTTTTAATGATAGTTTCATCAAGCAATACTAACAACAATGATGGGAAATGCATAGATTTACTAAAATTTGAAATATTTCACTTATTTTTAATCTTATACAGCATATCTAGCAGTAAAACACAAGAGGTGCATTAAATTGGTTGTAAAACTTTGTTTTTATGTGAAAAACATCTTGTTTGTAGTTCAAGTGCTGGAAAATGAAATCAGGATTATTACACCATGGTGCTAAGAAAACTTCTAAATTGCCAAGTTGCGGATACATACTGTTTGCAGAAGGCCCAACAAACTATAATAAGTCAGAGATGCAACTAGAATAATTAAGTAAGTAGTAATTAAAAGATAAAGTGCTTGGATATTAGGTTATAAAATCATTGGCATGAACTTATTAAAACATTCTTCAACAGTCACTGTGGAATGGAATATAACTTGCAAGTAGGTATCAACTTTAGTATTATTAGAAATTTAAAATAGGAAGGGATTAAAATACACTAAAGCGTACACTCAAGGGATTCATAAGAATAATGAATTTAATTTTAATGGTCTCTCTAGACAATATGTTATCTCCTTATAAGAAGATGAAAGTGAATGAGAAAGAACTCAGATGCATTAAGTGGTATAGGTATCTACATCAGATGGACTTTTATTGGAGGAGATGAGGTTGTAAAGTTCTTTCCATCATATGTCATGTTCCATTCAGTGCAGGAAAGAGGCCGAATCAAACCCAGAAGTGTGCCTCTTTCCCAGAGACATAAAGATTAAATGAATGCCCTCTGCAACACTCTTACAATTTTAATTAGACAATTAAATTGCTTTGTAATGATAACATTTGAAAAATTGCAGTACATAATACACTTCAACCTAAAGTGTGTATCCAGCGAATTTTTGAATGCTAATGACTCAAATATGGTCTGGTTAATTGCACAATAATTGAAATACAAAGCTGTGATAATGCGTTTGAATTAAATAGAATGCATATAAAAATGATAGTATGCAATTACATATTTTCACTTCTTTTTAATTTACCTAAACACCCACTTCATATGGATCTTAGAAAGTGCACATTGTGCCTTAAACCTGACTGAGCATAATACAGTGAAGGAAATAAGTATTTGATCCCCTGCTGAATGTTTGCCCACTCACAAAGAAATGATCAGTCTAAAAATCGAACGGTAGGTGTATTGTATCACCGAGAGACAGAATAGCAACACCAAATTCAAAAGAAATTCATGTCTAACAAATGATGCACTGATTTGTATGTTCATGAGGGAAATAAGTATTTGATCCCCTATCATCCAGCAGGATTTCTGGCTACCAGGTATCTTTCATACAGGTAACAAGTTGAGATTAGAAGAAGTCTCTTAAAGGGAGTGTTGCTAATCTCATTTTGTTACCTGTATAAAAGACACCTGTGCACAGGAGCAATCAAACAATCAGATTCCAAACTCTCCACCATGACAAAGACCAAAGAGCTGTCCAAGGATGTCAGGGACAAGATTGTAGACCTACACAAGTCTGGACTGGGATACCAAACTATCGCCAAGCAGCTTGGTGAGAAAGTGACAACAGTTGGTGCAATCATTCGCAAATGGAAGAAACACAAAACAACTGTCAGTCTCCCTAGGTCTGGTGCACCTTACAAGATCTCACCTCGTGGAGTGTCAATGATCATGAGAACAGTGAGGAATCATCCCAGAACTACACGTGAGGATCTTTGTCAATAATCTCCAGGCAGCTGGGACCACAGTCACCAAGAAAACAATTGGTAACTCACTACGCCGACAAGGATTGAAATCCTGCAGTGCCTGCAAGGTCCCTCTGCTTAAGAAAGCACATGTCCAGGTCCATCTGAAGTTTGCCACTGAACATCTGAATGATGCAGAGGAGGACTAGTTGAAAGTGTTGTGGTCAGATGAGACCAAAATCGAGCTCTTTGGCATCAACTCAACTCGCCGTGTTTGGAGGAGGAGGAATGCTGCCTATAACCCCAAGAACACCATCCCAACTGTCAAACATGGTGGTGGAAACATTCTGCTTTGGGGTTGTTTTTTCTGCTCAGGGGACAAGACAACTGCACCGCATCAAAGGGACGATGGACGGGGCAATGTACCATCAAATCTTGGGTGAGAATCTTCTTCCCTCAGCCAGGGCATTGAAAATGAGTTGTGGATGAGTGTTCCAGCATGACAATAACCCAAAACACACGGCCAAGGCAACAAAGGAGTGACTCAAGAAGAAGCACATTAAGATCCTGGAGTGGCCTACCCAGTCTCCAGACCTTAATCTGATTGAAAATCTGTCTAGGGAGCTGAAAAGTTACATCATCCAATTTGCCGTCGTCAGGGCCATGCAGGCCCTTGACGGCGTCAATTGGATGATAAAACGAGTTGGGTGGAGCTTTGGCGTGCGACGTCACCACATTCTGGAGGGACAGCAGCCATTTTTCTGGTTGGAAACTTTTTGTTCAATGCTGGTAACCATTTATATTGATGTATGTGGAACTTGTATTAAACTGGTTTGTTTTAATATCAAAATACTACACTATGAGTGGTCTTCTTTTCATATCTTCATCTGATTACTGGATGGGAGTCTTTTTTAAGGCCTTTAATGATCTTATGAAAGGAAGATTGAATCTTATCCTGGGGAGGATTGTCAGCTTCATCATCTGCACTACTGATCCCTCTTTTGTGCTGCGTTTATTGACCGGAGTGTTTTGGTCAGAACGTCTGGTAAGGGGCTCATTCATTTAGGTACCTTGGTGATAGTTGATCGTGCCGAACTCCTCTTTGTGTAATATATCCAAACTTTTTTTTGATGATTTGGACTTTATGATTATCTATTGTGATATATATTATCGCTGCATTTTTTACTGTTTATTATTTGTATATTGCTTTTTATGCGAGCAGCTTTTTATTCTTTATTTTTATTTATATTTTTTTATGTTTTGTGTATTAATCTAAGCACAGGTTTGATTTTTTCTGTTGCAATACACCTACCA